ACATCTTTGCCCATTTTCGGCATGGTGACCACTGTCAGAAGGAAACAAAATTTCTTGCTTTCTTTCCAAAATCAGGCGAAAATTAATACGCGCGCTGATGTCATCCATAAAAATTACTTGCTGTTGCCTAAGTTTGCAAACAGTTTTAGCTGCCATATTTGTGTGGGCTTGAACAACCATTTAGGAATATTTAGGGAAACTCGGCATTTTAAGAACGTCCACGTGATAAGAAAAATGCAATGTGCCACATACGTCAGCTATTCTTTTCTCTGTCTACTGCAATATCTATGCAGGTATAAAATGCAGAATTTCTGACACAGGACATTGCCCCAGACACAATCACCAGCAGCTTGATGGAAGCTGTTGTCCGTAGCAATAAAGTACGAACCTCTGAGGGCCAATAGAAATGTACGTGCGGGATCACGCAGGGAACAACAGTGGGACATCAACAATGTTATTGACGTTTTTCTTGAATAGGTCTAAGAAAAGAGATAGATGATTTCCTTCATATATAATTTACTTTTAATTAATTAAACATTTTACGGCTTACATGTAACGTTGCAGCTACCCGACTGAATCTGGGGCCTACCTAAAGTAGAACGCCATAATGATTGGTTGTTCCAGATTAAAATGCAGTTTTAAAGTAGCACGCTGTTACTTCACTGTGACGTCTCTGTGAAATGAGCTCTTTAAAATCGTTTTGGTCCTCGTTTACTATAGTACATTTTGGAATGAAATTGCCAAACAAATATTCCAATTGACGTCTATACCTGTTGTACGTCTGGTCACATTTTCAACAATCATATTGAAGTTGTTGGTTGTTTTAGCATAAAATACAGCAATGTTACTTCACTGTGAGGTTTCTGTTCATAGGCATGAGCTCTTAAAATAGGTTTCCTGTCCTCGTTTACTTCAATTAATATTACTTTGATATAACATACATTGCCGAACAAATGTACCAAAATTGACGTCTATACCTGTTGTGCATCTGGTCATATTTTCAATGATCACAGTTTTCACTCAATTGATGATAACCGTTCTGACCAGACAGAGCATCTTCGTTGACGTCTAGATTACTCAGGTGTTTATATATTTACCTTTGCAGAAGGAAAACGTATTGTTTTTGCACTGTTTCATCTTCCTCTTCTTCTACTAATAAATAAGGTCAATGACCTGAACCAGACGTCTGTCACCATGGTACATGTGTAGCTAGTGTTGGGTTACATCATGTTGCAATTTTATAGCAGGAGGGATTTAGACTCATGTCACCATATATATGAATGTGTTTGAGTAAGAATTTTGAGAAGAGTGAGGAAGATTTAACAGAGCAGACCATATGTAAAGGTAAACATTATACATTTTGCTTTGCAAATGTTACCTTTCTAGTTAAGGGTATATTTCTGATGCTATATGATTTCATTGATCCGGCTGATAATCATTTCATGCATCCTATAATTTAAACCCCGTCTAATGAGGCTGATTCCATCACAGTCAGTTAATCAATTAACGACTGTCGTCTTGTGACGAATTGATCTTGTACTGCCCCTAATTTTCTGCTTTAATTATTCATATAGCCCCCATTGAGAATGCATGAAAAAGCCAATTCTGCCGAAGACACCTTCGTGAAATCGATTGTGTGGAGTGACAGCTCACTTCTCATGTGGGGCATCTGTGGATTCCCATGAACAGATATTAAAGGCATCCAATGCAGTTTTATGTGCTAGGAACCCCGATTTTTCAAAGCCAATATTTTAGTCATTTATCACCATACTGAGTTGAAACCACACTGTCCCAATGTATATTGACCCTTATGGGGAAAAAATTCCAAAAATTCTGACGGAAAATTGTTACTGGACGGACCTGGGCTGATTTTTAGGGTACCAGCCTGAAAATAAAAGACTCATCTTGGGGCTTGTTTCTGCAGTTTTAAAAGCCCCAAGTATGAAACTCAAATGTGCTAATGTGAAGCAGTATGTCAATATCACAAAGATCGCCTTATTCAGAATATTTCCAGTTTTCTGCCCTGAAATCGCATTGGATGCCTTTAAGAACTAGACAGGACTACTTTCCTATCTCTAAACTATAACGTCTTGTGAGTAAGGATGGATTCAGGACGAAAACACATCTGTTTATCTTTGTAATCGAATAATACTTTCAATGTTTACATTTCAATACTTACATGTTTACATCAAACCTTCCAGAAAAATACAGCTTCCATCTTCTACGCTATTTAAACCATTGAATGATGTACATAGTAGTGTACTACATAGAATAAGCATGCCTATATTGCGTCAGACTAATATAATTTTAAAGCAGAAATTTAAGTTTAGAGGGGAAAAAAGTGATAACGATGGTCCAATATAGTACAGTCCCTTTTGAGTTCCCTGGATCCTAATGTACTAATGTAGATTATGTTTGTTTGAAATAATATAGATATTAACAAACGCTACAGAGATTACAGGCTTAAATATATGGGCAATCTTGTATATATATGATATGGAAGTCTAGTGTACACAGACATGTATATCTGTTACATATTGATACACATGGTTGTTTTTACACTTTCTCCTACATACATTCAAGTACTAGACAACAAAATATCATTTTTAAATACAAGTTATTACTGATATGTTGCCTTTCTTTTCACATATCTTGTCGACCTTTTGGAACACAGATTTGATAAGCTAGGGTGAAATATATCTCAACATGAAGCACAACTAACGTATACGACAATCTTTACTGTTTGTACGACTATTTTTACAGTTCATACGACTATCTTTACTGTTTGTACGACTATTTTTACAGTTCATACGACTATCTTTACAGCTCGTGTACTATTTTAACCATTCGTACGACTATCTTTACAGTTTGTACGACTGTCTTTACAGTTTGTCATCACAAAAACTAGACAAACACATCTTACTTATTATCGAATCTTATACTGTTGTTTAGATTGTATAAACAATATTGCACAACATCGCTCATCACCAGAATACCGTGCATTGCACATATTTATACCATGGTACATGTAGGCAGTTATGGCACAATCACTACACAGTCGAACAGTTAATATACATATTTTTTTATCATACGCATCTTGAAAGTTATTCTCTTCTTTTATTAATTTCAACTTCATTACATATTACGTCTAAAAGGCCAAGGGAATACAGGGGTGTCCTTTTAAACACCCTGGTCAAATTAAGATAAATAGGACTTAACAAGATATAATAACAGAATAACAATAATAATAATTGTAACAAAATAATTATAACAATGATAATTATAACAAATATTAACAATGAGATAATAAAGTAATACAAACTAATAAATAAAAATAAAACAAAGACTTAACGATTCAAAGAAATAAACAAATTGATATCATCGGTAACAGAAAACATTAGTTGAAACACTACCAATAATAAAGACTAATAATAACAATAATAATTGAAATCTGAAATAGCTTCTGTCGTTCTATTCTTTTCTCACTTTTGTCATCCTAAAGGTATTGGCTTAGGCTTAACACTATCATATTTTTTTCAATCTTGTTCAAAGTCATAAAGTAACCAGCAAATTAATACTTTACAGACTTTGGATCGCTAAGCGATTCTACAGTGTATTGGTAAACTGTGTTGGTCCTTGATATCATTTTGTCTAATTCCTAATAACAGACATAATCATTGAGTTTTGCTACACTCATTTAAGATTTTTTTCATGTAGCAGAGCAGTAGGTATAAGCCATTACGGCAAACGTATGTCTAATCTATGTGAGGAAAACATCCATTGTATCTATTAATTTCATAACCATCTAGAAAAATAGATACTACACAAAAAGTGTGCCAGAATATTAGCCACGAATCGACAGTTTCTTTGATATCAAATCTCATGGTGTATGTTGACCATGTTGGGTCACTCACATTATTACTTAATTTTTTTACGACCAACTAGATATTTTGTGCTGTAGTCTAGATTATATATATATATATAACAACAACTCTATATTTTGCACAAATCTCTTTGGCTAATCTAAAGATGAGTCAGTTGTTTTGTTTGGTTTTACTACTAATAAAAAGATGCGTTGTGGCTTTAATCACTTCATGCAATTATTCCTACGCACATTTCAATTTCCTCCTGGTCTAATCAATAGCCGGTCCATCAATTTGAAAATGTAGATTCCAGGAAATGAACCGTGGTGCCAAATTATACCACGCTAATTTTGATAAACACTTAATCGATTTGTGACCGAAATGTATTCTCTGTTTACTAAAGGTGTTGTACTTGAAATGTAGTAAGTTAGTACAAATGCTTTGTACTGTAAATGTCATATTTTCATAAATTATTGGTTTACAGCTTAAGATTTGCTCTTTTTGCTTTAGTTACTAAAACGAATCTTACTCAATTTGTGTAGAGTTTTGAATGATTTTCATAGATGTCTCGAACTTTTGTTTGTAACTCTTGGCAGATCCACCACAATAGAATCCAAAGTAACTGTGCACACATGCGTTACTGATTATTCCTAGTGCCAATTGAAATTCATTAGCTTTATTGATCGAAATCACTGCATTGTTTATGTCATCCATTCGACTTCCAATGCTTTGAATGATATATTAGTACAATCTGAATTATCAGATGGTTAATGTGAGATCTTTAGGAAACTGTTCTTCTAAGATGCAACATCAATTCTCATTTAGTTGCCGTACTTGACGACCATGTGTTCATGTGCGTCTGATCTGTCGAAAGATCAAGCCTCAAATTTGTAACCATTGCTCATAAAGACCTTTGGAGGAACGTTCACGATTGTCTCTCATCTCGCGAGAAGTTTGTTGAAAGTCTCGCGAAAAGTTTGTCGAAAGTCTCGCGAGAAGTTTGTTGAAAGTCTCGCGAGAAGTTTGTTGAAGGTCTCGCGAGAAGTTCGTTGAAAGTCTCGCGAGAAGTTTGTTGAAAGTCTCGCGAGAGGTTTGTTGAAAGTCTCGCGAGAAGTTTGCCTCGCGAGAGTCGGCCGATGTCTAGAGGACTGTCATGGTTGACATGCACGTGTCAGCTCGTGTCATGCCCGTGTTGTTGGTGGTGGTGACGGTCCGACGGAGGGCCGTATATCTCAGCGTCCTCATCGCGTTCTCCTCCAGCTGCCTCTTGCGCTCTGCCTCGGTGGTGCAGCAGCACAGCAGGTACCGTTTGAAGAGGGTGCGGAAACTCTTGCTCAGGAGGAAGAGCGCGAAGGGGTTGACGCAGGAGTTGGAGTACATGAGTCCCTGGGACACCACCATCCCGGCGAACTGCACCAGGGGCGGGGGCGGGAGAGGAGAGTCCCCCCAGGGAAACCAACGCCACAGGTTGACGATGTGCACGGGCAGCCAGCACAGGGCGAAGATGGCCACGAGGATCAGCACGGTCTTGGCGACGTTCTTGCGTGCCTCTAGTTGTCGAACCGTGGACATGTTCTTACAGGGCATGTTCCGAGCCGACAGGATGAGATGACGGGCGATCAGGACGTAGAAGACTCCAATAGTGATGAGAGGAATACAGTACATCAAGGTAAACTGTACCAGCGCGTTCGCTTGGGGGTACGTCGGTGTGTACTCCATCGGGAACGGCACACAGGAGCGCATGTAGAAAACAGACGTTTCGTTATGGCTGGTGGCGTTAAATCTTGTGATGACTTTGGAGAAGACAACGTCCGGAACGGCCAGACACATGCTGCCTATCCAGATGGAAACGGCCAGGATGTTGGTACGTCTGAGCGTGTGGTTAGCCTGGAGACTCATGGGCTTGACGATGGCTCGGTACCGGTCGTAACTCATGGCCGTCAGCGTGAAGATGGACACCCCGATGGACGTGAACTGGATGAAGGGCATCAGTTTACACATGATGTCGCCGAAAACATAGTCCGGAAGTAAGTAGTTGGCCACGGTGATGGGCACGCAGCTGACCAGAACCAACAAGTCCGCCAGGGCCAGACTTGCGATGAAAATGTTCGGGACGTTTCTCATGGTTTTGTTGGACCACACGATGCGAATGACCGTCCCGTTGCCGAGGATCCCAGTCAGGGCAATGATGGAGAAGATCACCGCCACGATAACCAGAGCCCACTCCGGCGGTTGGCCGACTGCATCGTCGTTGCTATCGGGCCCCATGGTGGGCCACTGAAAAGTCTCCCGTGTCAGATTAGTGCGATTACCGTACTCATCACCGGTGTACCACGCCGCTAGCCCTGCCTCTTCCGCAAAGCCGTCTGAATCAATCGAGTCTGGGAGTGAGTTCAGGACAGAACTGCTCACCATTCCTCTTATCTTCATGAAGCGCACGGCAACACGAAACGCCTGGGCTGCTGATTTTTTGTGGGCGATAAAAACTTGGAGGGCTTACCTCGCGTCAGTTCTTCACCGGTAGTCTCTCGGGCAGGCTAAGCCGATAAAAGCTTCAGTAGTGTCTGTCGATTCACCAACGAATTAGCTGCAACACAAAACGCATTTTGATGTTACCGAATTCTGGATTAGTCCGACCGTCATCATCTCAACTACAGTCAATCAGGAAACGTTTAGAAGGATGATGCTCTAAAAAGCTCTCAGTCTCTGTATCGGGAAGGAAAATCAATGAGGAGTATTCTCAATTGAAGCCCAAATAGAGCACGTCAGTAAAGCTGTTATTAACAGGGAGAACACTTTGTCTGGTGCTGGCCGTGCCATACGTCTGGTACATCGGCTTTGAAGCTACTGTTAGCCTACTGTGTTACCTTTATTATTAACTGTCGATCCGCTATATGTAAGTTGCCCAACGAATATGCGCTCGGTGGAAGAAGAAGTTAGAGCATTTCTTTTTTCAATGGACTCTTGACGAGATTGAAAGAAATACACTTAACAGTAACACCAACTTTACCAACCTTTTACCATTTACATAGCCCACAAAAGCTACATTTCTGCGTAAATCACACATTCCACTTATTACACAAAATGTGAGAAATTTCATTAGCCACTACCATTAAAGAAGAAGTCAAACGTGACAATTGAAGATGTTAACATCTCATATAGTAGATTAGACACGTTCGTATTATTTGCATTATAAATGTACATTAATAGTCACTAAGCATTCATTTTATAATTTTGTACTTCCAACTACCCTCCGTGCATGGAGTTCCAACGTTTGAATCACTTTGTTTAAAATAAATGTTCAAAATCAAGTATTCATTTCATGATTTTGTACTTGCGATTAGCCTTCGTGCATGGATTTCCAAATAAAGTTGTTGTTGTCATATTAACGTTTGAATTACTTTGTTCAAAATAAATGTTTAAAATCACTGCGTATTCATTTCATGATTTTGTACTTGCAATTAGCCTTCGTGCACGGATTTCCAAATAAAAATGTTGTTGTATCGACGTTTGAATTACTTTGTTCAAAATAAATGTTCAAAGTAAATGTTAAAAATCTATCAGCCTTTTCTTCACTTCATGTGATGAAGTATTCTCTCTGCTTGCCAGATGGATACCATTGATAACGTTCTGAATGTCGAGAAATCTACAGAGTTCACGACTTCTGAAATGTTGACGAATCTCTCACACTCTCCTCCACAAGGGAAATACAACATATTAACAGATAGTGGGGTTTTACCTCATCACTCAAGCATATCAGCGCATCTATATTGTTTCTCATAACTCTTTGAATGAAGCAGGTGGTACATCTGAACACGCGTACGCAGTGAATGATATATAAAAGCCATAACGGCTTATCTATTATAGATTACCATAGCAGACGCTAATGACTAATAAATTTCCGTGGGTGTGTTTGTAGTAGCAAGCTGTTGATAGCCCAAGTGCACGGAGCACCTTAGGTGCAAAGCTAAATATGTAGACAGGCTTAGTCTAAATCTAGATATATATTACAGGCAAGGGCACCGTATAAAAAGACTGAGTGCGCAGTGGTAAGGGAACACAGTCGTAAGCTAAGTAAAGAGACTCTTTTTACACAACCAAGTCTTTTATTCAGCCGACGTTTCGGTGACCGTCTGTCACCTTCCTCAGGGCAATTCTGACTGGTTCACTTGCCCTGAGGAAGATGACAGACGGTCACCGATCAACGTCGGCTGAATAAAAGACTTGGTTGTGTAAAAAGAGTATCTTTACTCAGTGTCTGACCAACCTGATGAAACTATTCACAGACAGTCGCAAGCTATTTAGAATGACTGTGAGACCGACTAAAGGTACGGAAGGCACTTAGAACACTCACTATACATTCCGCATATCGAGTATTCTACTAAATATGTAGACTGGCTTAGTCTAAATCTAGATATAATACTGGCAAGGGCACCGTATAAAAAGACTGCGCGTGCGGTGGTAAGGGAACACAACCGTAAGCTACATAGAATAACCGTGGGACCGAATAAAGGTACAGAAGCCATTCAGAACAATCAATCAATTGCGCACATCAAGTATTCTACTAAATACTAGCTTGTAGATTGGCTTAGTCTAAATATAGATCTATTACTGGTAAAAATACTGTAAAAAGACTACACTATAAGATAGACAGGGTGTGTTGCGGTAAGGGAACACAGCTGTAAGCTACTTAAAACGACTGTAGGAACGAATAAAGGTACGGAAGTCACTCAGTCAATCAATCAATTGCGCACATCGAGTATTCTACTAAATACTAGCTTGTAGATGGGCTTAGTCTAAATCTAGATCTAGTACTGGTAAAGGTACCGTAAAAAGACTACGCTATAAAATAGACAGGGTGTGTTGCGGCAAGGAAACACAGCCATAGCTACTACAATGACTGTGGGACCGAAGAAAGGTACAGGAAGCCATTCAGAACAATCAATCAATTGCGCACATCAAGTATTCTACTAAATACTAGCTTGTAGATTGGCTTAGTCTAAATCTAGATCTAGTACTGGTAAAGGTGCCGTAAAAAGACTACACTATAAAATAGACAGGGTGTGTTGCGGTAAGGGAACACAGTCGTAAGCTACTTAGAACGACTGTAGGACCGAATAAAGGTACAGAAGCCATTCAGAACAATCAATCAATTGCGCACATCAAGTATTCTACTAAATACTAGCTTGTACATTGGCTTAGTCTAAATCTAGATCTATTACTGGTAAAGGTGCCGTAAAAAGACTACACTGTAAAATAGACAGGGTGTGTTGCAGTAAGGGAACACAACGATGGTGGGACCGAATAAATGTACGGAAGCCACTCAGTCAATCAATCAATTGCGCACATCAAGTATTCTACTAAATACTAGCTTGTAGATTGGCGTAGTCTAAATCTAGATCTATTACTGGTAAAAATACCGTTAAAAGCCTACACTAAACTAGACAGGGTGTGTTGACAGAAAGTGAACACAGTCGTAAGCTACTTAGAACGACCACTGCTTGAAAAACCACGTTTCCAAGAGTTTCCAGTCCCGCACACGCCCGTGAAATTCGCCGTGTCCTGGTCGCGTCCATGGATTTCCGGGCTCCGCGTGTACGGCCCCGGATATTTCCTTACACTCCCGGATTCGTGCTCGCCGTGCACGTGCACGGAAATTTACGCCCCGCACACTTGGCGTGTGTTGGGGAGCGGCTAACAATAAGGGGTAATTAGGTACTGCGTGTATTCATGTTTCAGGTGATAATTACTTGAACCAAAGTTGCCAGCACTTTAATCTAAGCAAATTAGATATAGAATGATCAAGGATTGTTAATACAACATTTGAACCTATGCGTCCCTGGCTTGATTTATCGTGATGTCGTCCATACGACAAAGCACATTTGAGCGTAGGGCGCCCCGACGCTGGGGTTATATGACCTACTCGGTCAAAATGACCTAAATCTACACTCCGGTCTAAATCTGAATTTTTTATTTTGGAAATAATAGTTTATCCGTGAGATTCATTACCATGATGTAATCAAACGCTTGACTAAAGGGGTTTGAACTAACATGACCTGATCAGTTTGTTATGATTTTTAGGTACATGTATGGGTAATAATATGCAAGCTTTACATTGTAGTTCGGTCGATGTGTATTGTGATGTGTCTGACATGGCGTCCGTTTATGTGAATAGCCTTTATGTAAACAAAGGGAGAACTCACAGCGTCCCCATGCCTGGTAAAATACTGAAATCCAGCAAAACAAGTCAACCCTCATGACATTAATTGTGGATTTTGGATACATTTACAAAGAGTAAGGTTATGTTGGAGTTGAAGTGCGGTTTTATTCACTTAGTGAGCGACAAGTTGTGTAATTCTAGAACGAATAAAGCCATGTAATCATGACGAATTAGAATTATGAAGATCATTTGTCTGCCTTGAAATAGATACATTCACACAATCAGAAACATCCTATCATCCAAGTGTTCAGACTGCACAGGCGATTTAACTAAAACCTATAATATAAAACAAGATGGTTGTAGTATTGAACGCGATCACGTGATTATATGACTGACGACCAATCCTACCTCGCTCTCGCCGGGACCAGCCAATAAGAGACGCGATGCTTTGTTTTGGTGGGTCGCTTGAATCTTGCTTTGTCACAACGACGGTTTGCTTTTTCAAAACACGTTTGTCTCGGCTTGCAAAGATTACTAGTATGTTCCTGAACTAAATGGCGTCAAACATTCCGTTCTGTTACTTCGTTTTCGCAACGGAAGAAATGACTCTACTACATTGAAAGGACAACACCGCAACGAACCAGCAAACCGACAGGAGGAAGGGTAAGCTAAAACAAGGATACTATTATATATACGGCACTATCGTTACATATATCTTAAACATGTTGTTTAAAAACCTTGGCTAAGTTGTGCCTACGGCAGAAATATTTATTTTGGCAAGAAGTGTACACTATTTTTTTTACTGATTAATAACATAGTTTATTATTTCTACTTAGAAGTACATCGATATAGTTTGTATGTTGCTCAGAACATATGTACTTTTTTCAGGCGCGGATTTGGGATACTTTGAGACGATTTGAAGAAACTTTATCGCCAGGCTGTCGGAGAGCTCAGAAAAGAAAGAAAGAAAAGCGACTGCAGTCACACAGAAGAGGGTGAGTCTATGCAAATGTATATCTTTGCATACGAAGGCCGACAAGGCTCTTGACAATTTGAATTGTTTTCATTACCGAGGGAAATGTTGTGTTTGTATTGTTCCCATGATTACAATGAAAAGAAACAAGTAGACGTTGATGCTTGATGAATGGAGCCTTTTTCACCTGGACAAAATTGTTGCTGTCTGACGTTAAAAACATTCGTTAAAAATGATAAATGACTTCTCCTCGAAATGTGTCCATACAGACGTCCGCATCTTTGCCAGGCTTGTTTATAAAACGTCTAGTACATGTACACGTAACTTCAAATGAAATTCAAAAATGCCTTCGACTTTTGACTTAGATTTTCGTTTTCCATGTCCTGCAGGCCAGGCTGGAGGCAAACAGGCAGACTGCACACCCAGGCTCAGATCTAAAGGCGAGGGTGCTGTGTTAAAGCGCCCGGCAGGCTCCGACGACCCAGGCCGGCCCCGCTGCACTCCCGCCCGGGGTGCACCCCGC